TATTCCAGCCCCAAGATCAATGGCTTTTTTAAACTTTGAAAGAAATATAGATGTGTAGATATATTCACATATTTTAAATAACTGGACATAATGTACAGACCTATTCTATGAAACTTTCTCTGATCCGTCCTTTCTCTAGAATCCCATTGCAGTGTTTTTCATGGCGTATCACTTTGTATAATGGATTATGGTTGTGCAGTCATCTAGCCTGAGAGCTGTTTGAGGGCAGAGACCATGTAAAACTTGTTTTTGTCTCTTCGTCCATTCTTCTCACACCTGATATAGTGCCTTTCCCACAGAAAGATTTTTAAAATAATTTGCAAAATTAACGTATGCTGGAGGAGGCAGAGACTAAGATGCCTTAGGAGGAAACACAGATGCATTCTCAGAGAAGCTTTTTTAACTTGTTTGAGAAGATAGTTGAAACTGGAACTCCAGAGTTAGATGCTAGAAGACATTGGGACTGAAAATAAAGACATTCAGGCAAGGCCACTAACCCCAGAGCTACCTAAATGTAACAGTCTTAGACTGATATCAGGAACGTCCTTAAACAGATATTTTTAAATTCTCTATAATTTGGGGTTTTTTTGTATGAATATGTAGTAAATTGGGTAAACTGAAGTTCACTGTATACTTAAATTATACCACCGTATTTTCTTCATTGATTTCATATCACTTTATGGATGATTTAGTAAACGGCTATTTACTTATTCTTGTGCTTTTAACTACTCATTTTCTACACTGAGTCAAGTCTAGAACACTGGACATTCTCATTATCTCTTTATATATGTATATATATTCATATATGTATATATGAGTAGGCATCGATTCTATATCTATCTCTTTCTATATATAGGAATAGGTATTGATTCTTTAACTGTCTGTCCGTCTACCTGCCTACCTACCTATCTATACTTCCCAAACTAGGTGTTTCTCTGAATTTTCTTGCATCATTCATTTTTAACTTCTCTGTGCTTCAATGTCATTATCTGTAAAATTGGGGTAACAGTAGTACCTATCTCATAGTTGGTTGTGAGGATTTCATAAAACAATAATGCCAAGTGCTTAGCACCATGCTTGACACATGGACTGGATAAATAATTACTGAATAAATGAACCATATTCCGGGTTACCCAAACTCAAAATATTGGAGTAACTTTTTTCTTGCCTCCCTCAAATTCAGTCAGTGAGCTCTATTAGTTCTTAGAATCATAGGATTTTAGGTCAGAAAATGGGGATCATAATCTCTGCCCTTCCTGCCTTATTAAGTTTTTAACAATATATAATAAAAAGCCAACATTTATTGAGCACTAAGTATTTTACACACACTGTCTCATTTAATCTTCACAGCAAACCTAAGAGGGAAGTACCATTATGATTCATCCCCACTTTCTGATAAAGAAATATAGGATTAAAGAGTTAAATTAATTTGCTGAAAGACAGCCAGAGTTTGAATCAGGTCTTTCTGATGCAGACCATGCTCTTAACCACAGTAGGAGGAAGGGTCCCATACTACCTCCTCTCCCTCTTCCCTCCTCTCCTACCCCACCACACACACACACAAACATACACGTTAGGAGGAGCAAATGAAATCATTCACATGAAAGCATGCATGCTTCTCAAATTTAAGAGATTGTGGGTTTTACCTAGCTTTACCATTCAGGAAAATAGGGACCAGAAAAATGGACTAAAACTTGGGTTTCACTCCAAGACCAGAGTTGATCATATGATGAAAATATGAATTCCCTCTTGATTGCTCTTGCTAACGTGAGTTCTCCTTCACTGAATTCCCAATGTAAAGACTGCCAACCACTATTTCAGTATTTAAATACATGCTGTCTTGCATTGATATTTCACCCCAATCCGTCAGTTCCATGTAGTTTATAAACTCTTTAGTGGTTGTGATGGTTAATTTTAGG